CTATTTTGGTGAAGTGAAAGCTTCATCTTCAAAGTCATGTACCCAATGTTTAAATAATGGACTTCTGTTCTTGTCCCCCTGAATTCTGCTGTTGGATCAATTAGAACCAAGTACATGGAGTTCTGTCCTTTTTCATTTCCCAGCCATGGAAAACTCAAACAAAATATGAGTTATGGAAGCCATTTTTAATAGTGATTTTTTTTTTCTCTTTAAGACTTTCCAGCTAAATATTTGACATTGTGTTCAGATTTCATGGGTTAAATTACTGTGCCACGAGAGCTATACATAACAGCAAGCCATACGCATTGTGCCCAACTAGATATCATGGACTGTTGTGCGGTATTTTATTTGTATTCTGACAAATAAAGCTTGCCTGCAGATTAGAGGGTGGAGCTAGACACTAAATATCCATAGAGGCCAGGTGGTGGGGGCTCATGCCTTTAATTCCATCACTTGAGAGGCTCACACCTTGAGAGGCAGAGAAAGGAAATAATAAGGCAGGGTGGAGACAGGATCTTGGCCCTTTCATCATCCAGAGAGGGTAAGAAGTCCCTGATGGCTGCTCCTCTGCTTCTCTGTTCTTTCAGTTCATTACCCCAATATTTGACTCCTGATTTTTATTCATAAGACTAACTAGGTTTACACTTCAATGGATCACTCTACATTCACAAATAAAATATTTCGCCGGGCGGTGGTGGCGCACGCCTTTAATCCCAGCACTCGGGAGGCAGAGCCAGGCGGATCTCTGTGAGTTCGAGGCCAGCCTGGGCTACCAAGTGAGTTCCAGGACAGGCGCAAAGCTACACAGAGAAACCCTGTCTCGAAAAAACAAAAAAACAAAAACAAAAAACAAAAAAAAAACAAAAAAAAAATATTTCATCTCTGCATTACTTAAGTCTTCAAGTTAATGTATGTTTTATTCTTTATTCATAATTTCAAAGGCATTTTTCCTAATTCTTAATATTTGTCATGGTAAACAGAAGCTTAGAATATTATGTTCACACAACATGATAAATATAATAAATCTGAATTTTCAAAATCTTAAGACAAGGTTTTGAGGTTTTCTCAACTTCTTATTTAAATATGCCTACTTTCTTCCAAATAATAATAATTGTTATTATTGATCAAGCATTTCCAATTACCGGACAGACACTCTATATGTTTTTGGGATTTCTACCCACAACAACCATTTAGGTAACTGTCATTTCCCCCTGACATGAACAAGGTCATAAAGAATTAGGAGACTCGATTCCACGTTTGTGCAGTTGACAGGATAGACTCTTGAGTTCTGCTGTCGGTGGGGTAAAGCTGTTATAAATATGTCAATAACAATATATCTTATGCACAGAATGTGTTGTGGAAAACAAGATTTCCCACAAAATTGCATTACTTGGATTGTCTCATGGGCAAAGATTAAAACTTTACAGAAGGAAAACAAACCCCATTCCTAAAATGTATGGGTCTGTTAACCAATACCCTGCCTCAAAAGCAGAACATAGCAGAGGCAAAGTCTACTAAATATTAATTATGTTCTTTTTTTCCCCTGAGTCAGCCTAGTTTCAAATAAGACAAAAGAAATGATTTCATAGGAATTAGCTAAAAGCCATATTTTCAGTTTACAAAATTAATTACCTATGGTCAAACCTCATGACCAGTGTCTCCATTCCTGTGATGATATTATTGTTGCAATTCTTATTTTAGTAAAACATAAATATCTTTTTATTTCCTGATGCTAAACACATATATGCTAAATTATTTATATATCCATTTTAATATGTATTTTGCATCTGAAAGGCAACTCTCCTTAGGACCCCTTTACTGACCTACCTGTCATTATTATGGGGTAAACAATGTCACCTTTCTAGTGCACAATGAATTACAAAGAATTTGCAAAGCATACCATCCATCATGCTGGCACTAAGTAGGTTTGCAGAGTAGATATCAGATATCACAAATGCTCTTTAGACAGTTACCAGAAAGCACAAATTGGAAGCTTCTACAAAACAGTCCTATGATGAATGGCCATGACAGCTCTTCAAAGTAAAGGGGAGCTACTCCTCTGCAAATAACCTTGTCAAAAGCAAAAGTTGTGGGGAGCTTCACTGGCAGTGAAAATAGAATAATTTAAAAACTTGTTAATGGTTCTGCCTCATAGAAATTCATGAACACAGAAGGTAGTCAAAATAAGAATGGAGTTATGTCTGAATCAGCAGCAGCAGCAGCCAGTCAAGATTAGTTCAAATTGGGGAATGGTCAAAGATACACAAAAGTCACCATTTCTCTTCGAGCTGTTCTGTGTGAATTTCAATGTAACAACAACCCCTTAGAACATAGATGCAAGTGTATGCACAAGTTCTGTATGCATATATATATATATATATACAATAGTGAGCTAGAAGTGTTTTACTTTTGAATATTGTAGTCACATTATTTGAGTCTTAAAAATATCATCAGATACATATTTTCTTCATGCATCTATTTATGTACTATGTGTAATAGATTTGTGTTATTACATATTAAAATAGCTATTCTTATGTCTTTACCTAACTCACAAGACTTTTTCAAACTGAAGTCTTCAAATAGAAGAAGTTGTCTTGTGCATAACTGCATTTAGTCCTTAAACCACCCCTTCAGCTGAAGCTAAATATTTCAAAGGAATACATTCTACATCTGCTCTCATCTTCAATTTCTCCTGTCTAATAATTGGTTATTACTATTTTAAAAACTTCTTTACTAAAATTTTATCAGATATATTTAGTCCTTTTTTAAAATTGTGAATTGTCTAATTAAATACAAATGGAATTTTCCTCTATTTCTATTGTTTATGTATACATTTAAAATCTTTTTAATCAACTATAAGGAAAACATGGGACATTTAAACAATTTAAAGATACTATGTAAATTACTTAAAAGAATAGAATAACCATGGTTTGTTATATTGCACCTTACATTTTTTTAAAAATTTTGGCATTTCTGATGTATGTACAGAATGCATGTTACTAGAAGGTGATAGGGCTTCCATTTTGTGTTGTTTCTCACCTTGACTTTTAGCAGAATTTCATATAACCAGCACAAGAAGTTTCACTACTAATTAGATTTAATTTAATGTTAAATATATGCAATATTTTCTGCATAGAACTCATGTGATTTGATAAAACATACTTTTTCTGGCAATAATGGAAACACATTTTTATATCAATGAAAACACAAGGAAGCAGTCGATTTCATATTTTATTTATTCGTATTTATTTCATAAATATTCTGTAAAGCTTAGTTTATCGTATGAAACAATGAAAATATTTAATACATATCACTGATAAGATAAATATGTACAAAACTTTGAGATATCTGGAGTCAGGTCCATGGAATTGACGGTCTAACAATATTCCAGTCTCCATAGAGGACCAGGTTAAGGGAACATGGCTTTTCCATATCCCCATGATCAAGAAATCATCAATGTTTGCCAGGAGAAATTGAAAACCTAGCAGGTAGGAAAGAGTCCAAAGACTTACTAAATTCTTAGTGTTGTTTGTTGTTGTGCTTGGGGTGTGGGTTTCATTGGGGGAGGGAAATATCTGAATGTACTTGACACAAACAGAACAAAGAGGACAGAGAAACTGTGGTCCTTGTGAGTGCTTGGAATCTAGACAAAACAGATTGAATAATTTTTCACACATTACCCTAAGTACATAGCTTCTGACTCAAGGAAAAGATCTTGACTGCTTCCTTGTGTTTTCATTGATATAAAAATGTGTTTCCATTATTGCCAGAAAAAGTATGTTTTATCAAATCAAATGAGTTCTATGCTGAAAATATTGCACATATTTAACATTAAATTAAATCCAATTAGTAGTAAAACTCCTTGTGCTGGTTACATGAAATTCTGCTAAAAGTCAAGGTGAGAAACAACACAAAATGGAAGCCTTATCACCTTCTAGTACACATGCATTCTGTACACACTTCAGAAACCCCAAAATAAAAAGAAAATGTAAGGTGCAATATAACAAACCTTGGTTGTTCCATTTTTAAAGTAATTTATATAGTATCTTTAAATTGTTTAAATGTCCCATGTTTTCCTTATAGTTGATTAAAAAGATTTTAAATGTATACATAAACAATAGATATAGAGGAAAATTCCGTCTGTATTTAATTAAACAATTCACAATTTTAAAAAAGGACTAAATATGTCTGAAAAAATTATAGTTTACATTGAGTCAGAGCAGCTGCTATACAAAGCAAACATGCCATTGTTTCTCTCATGCATGTTGTGTGCACTCTGTGCCATGCATTGTTCCACAGGACTCAGTTAGATTAGTTATTTTAATTCTCACGGTGGTCCTCAAGTGGAAGATTAGTGATGCTTCACACAGAGCTAAAAAGTTCAGCATCATATGAGGTAGAAAATAGTGAGTACCTACAGTGTGAGCTTTAACTCACTCACAAAGCTCTAGAAGTTTTGTTCTTAACCAGAAAGCCAAAAGAATTACCAAAGCTAGCTAACCCTGAGAGCTAGAGAAATAGTCCACACCTGGCTCCTCTTCACACATTTGCCATCATGAATGCCAGCATGCCGCATTCAAATCCCAAATGTGTGAATAATCACATCAATTTTCCTCTTCATTTCTTATGTGCATAAACAATCTCAAATGCAATTCTTGCCATTTCTATTCTCTCCCTACATATCAACATATTCAAATTTGCCTCCTTCAAAACCATAAATGAGATTCTCTTGAAATATATGGACTGAGGAAAATGTGAATAACTCAGTTGCACCTTCAACACCTTCGAATTAAATTCGTGTAACATATTTTCACTTTCAAAATGTGACAAGTAAAGATTCAGGCACTTCCCATCTTCTTTGATCGCTGGCATTGCTACACAGAATATATTTAATGGCTACTTTTGTATGCGCACCCTGCCAGTTAGTTCAATTTAGATGAAAGCTGTTGTTTTCTAATTCCATTTCAGGAAAAAATGACAGAGACAAATGGTCAAATTACCTGGAGAGTTCCTTTGGCAGAATAGGCTGCATATGAGGAAAGCAGATCTTGGCTATGGCCTCTTCTGTCTTCTTCCCTGCAAGGTTGGCCATCAGGATAAAAGCACTGGCCAGTGCTGCTCACAGTGATGGTGCCTGGAGAGGACCCAGGGAAATCCAGCAACACTGAGTAGTTCATCAACTGTGTATCTTCTAAGCCCAATGCAGTCCAGTGAGTCTTAATCTTCTTTGAAATCTCCAGGTCATCTTCACTTTTATAGAGTTGTACCCAAGTTCTGAAAATTTTAAAAGCACATTTAAAAACTAGAGGAAGTCTTTACAATTTGGATATATGACTATTCATCTGTGAGCAATTATTAATAGATTTTATGGGATATTGAAGGATAAATGTGACAAGATCTGACCCTAAGAGAGTTACAGAGTGGTAGAGGTGAGGTGCATGAAGGCGATCATATTAAATCAAAGCAGGATGAATTTATTTTTCAAGTAGGACTACAAGGAACTATAAATACAGACTAGTGCTTTGTGACTTCTGATTCTTCTATCAACATTAACAAAAATCCATGTAAATCAGGTCCCACACCAGCTATCATGTTTCTTGAGATAGTTTTCATTATGTTTAATACGGTTCCATGTAAGAGTCTAACAGGGAAGACCCAAAGAGGGATGCATGGATTGCCCTGGGAAGGGGAAATAGATGAGATCTCCATGAGTAAACTGAGGATGAGGGGTGGGAAATCAAGGGTAGGTGATAAGGGATGAGAACATAAGGAAATGGGATGGTCGAGCTGGAACACGGAGGGAGGGGGAAAGCAATGAAAGAGATACCATGATAGAGAGAGACATCATGGAGATAGAGAAAAACCTGGGGCTAGGGAAGTTGCCAGGAATCCCCAAGGATGACCCCAGTCAGGGCTACTAGCAATAGTGGAGAGGGTGCCTGCACTGAACTGGCTTGCCCCAGAGATCAGACTGGTGAATACTCTAACTGTCATCACAGAGCTTTTTTCCATTGGCTGATGGAAGCAGATGCAGAGATCCACAACCAAACACCAGCCAGAGCTCCAGGAGTCTAGTCGGAGAGAGAGAGGAGGGACTCTATGAGCAAGTGCATCGGGATCATGATGGGGAAACATGCAGGGACGACCAAACCAAACTAGAGGGAACTCATGAAAGTTGGATCAATTGCTGTGGAGCCTGCTTGGGACTGGACTAGGCCGTCTGAATGGAGAGACAGTTGTGCACCTTGATCTGCTTGGGCGGGTGGAGGTAGGATCAGAATCCGTCTCTCGTGCTTGAGTGGGCTTTGTGGAGCCCACTCTGACGGGACACCTCATGCAGCCTTGAGGCAGGGAGAAGGGGCTGGACTTGCCTCTTCTGAATGTGCCTCCCCATGGGAGGCCTTGCCTTCTTTTGGTTGGTAGTGGGGGGTGGGTTGGGAGAGGGAGACTGGGGGTGCGGGAGAAGGGAAGAGGGGGATCTTTGATTGGTGTGTAAAATGAATGAAAAAAAATTTCTTAATAAAAAAGAAAGAAAGAAGAGAACTGAATAATCTACACCTACTGATATTTAAAAGAGAACTCTGTTATGTCCCCTTTCCACACTCAATGTTTAAGTTTGGGTCTGAAATGCTCCTGGCAGGGTCATGTGTTTTAATTTCTTGTTTCTTAGAGATGTGGGAGACTAAGAAACTTCAGGAGCTTGGTGCCACTTACGGTGATCCTTGAAGGAGATCATCTCACATGATCTGTAGCTTAGCTCTTTTTATCTGTATCGATCAAGAGATGTGAAAAAGCCATGTTTCAAGCTTCCCACCATGGAATGACCCTTTGTGTCACCATGCCCTCTCCAACATAACAGACGTTTTCCTCTGAAATTTGAGCCAAGATTAACTTCTACTTTGAATTGCTTCTATCCCACATTTAATCACAGGGAGGGAATGATATACAACACAGTAGCATCTGAAATAAGCTTTTCAGTTCAATGTCAAGGTTCTGGGTGGCATTATATGAAGACTAAAGGTCTGTTGGGGAGGCTACACCATCCTCATATAAAAGAGCATTAGTTGTTAATATTATTGCTCAGTTTTGAATGCCCCTCAAATTGGTACTCTGAAATACTAAGTCGCCAAATGATGAGATGGGAATTTAGTGAGGAGTGCTTTGATCACAGGTGAAAATTACTTATTAATGCAATTAGCACTCCAATAAAAGAGGACAGAGGGAGGTTTAGACTTTTTCTGCAGCATATAAGACAGAGCTAGAAGGAACCTTCTGTGAGGAAGCAGGCCCATCCCCAAAATTGTAGACATGGAGATCTTTGATTTCTCAGCTCTAAAACCGTGAAAATAAATTTTTGATTGTAAATTGCCCGATCTAGGGTATTTTGCTATAGCCACTCATATGGAGTATGATAACCATTAAATTACTGGTGACTATGAATATGTGTAAATTTAAACTATTCGCCTTAATTACAGCCATCATAGGGTAATACTAATCAATTTTGCTACCACCCAATTCCTCTAAGACATCATTAATTATGAAACATTCCTTCATTTTTGCTTTTTGCTAAAAATTATGTGATCACCAAATGGAAATTCCATTTACCTCTTCTCTTACCATTTTAAATTTTTCTTTAATTTTTGAATTATTATTCATAGGATGACCTTCAAAAATATATATTTCAATATTTAATAATAAGCAATGCTAGTTATTTTTATAAATAGGTTGGAAAGTTCTTCCTATTTTCCATTGCTGAGATGTTCTTTGAAAGAATATTGAATTTCATCACACATCCTGATATGTTCATTAAAACAATCATAAGATCCATTCTAAAATGATAGAGTATAGCAAAAGAATTTCTCTCATGTAAAATCAAACTCTATTATTAATAGGATGCATTAGAATTTTTAGATATTTTGTAATTTTCACATCTAATTTTAAAAGCAATGTAATGTTAGTAGCAATGTTCTGTTCAGGAATATTTTCTGTTTAACTTTGGCAAGAAATTATAAAAATCTCATAGATAGGAAGTATTATCTTTTGATTCCTTCTCTGAGCAAGATCAAATAAGATTAGAATATTTGAAGACTATCATCTTTAAACGAAAAATGGTCTGTAATTGATGTCTTATTATGGAAGAACTATGACCTGACTGATGAATACCTTTAATACTGTATGTGCTTTTTGTTTCCTCTTTGAACCTCAGGCCTTTCATCACTCTGGCCACTTGCTGTTCATCCTCAGGTTTCCAGGCTTTGGCTCATCACTTGCACAGCACCTTTTCCTCCATTTGGTTTCCTGCTTAATTCCTCTCACTGACTGATCTGTTTAACATAACCATCTTCTCAAATGAATCCATTGCAACATACATTCATCCAAAAATGTATTTGTATGAAGCCCATTTGTATTTTTAGAATATTAGTTTCAAAACACTAGCCAATGAGATTATTCAGTGAGAAGGAGCCCTTGCCACCATGCCTAATGACTTGAGTTTGATCCCAGGACCCACAAGGTAGAAGGAAAGAACAAAGTCTTACAATTTGTTATGTGACCTCAATCTGTGCACCATGGCAGGGGCATGCGTGTGTGTGTGTGTGTGTGTGTGTGTGTGTGTGTGTGTGTGTGTGTGTGCATGCACACACACACAAATAAATATAATAACATTTAGAAAATACTACATCAAGTAAACATGCAAGATATTGACTACCTCCAATCAAATTATGTTTTTTCAATAATTTATTATTCTTTCCACGGTATCTAAGGAGAAAAATTCTGGAAAAAGTGCTAAGATTATGACTTAGCATATTCTTTCTATAAACTATAGTGTAGATGTTTGCTTAGAATTTTTAAGTGCTATTCTTTTATCCATTAGAGATTAAATAATTTAAATCTACTCTACTATACTTGCAGGTTGAATTTAATTGAATACAAGAGTATCTTTATAGCAAGCTAAACAATACTACTTCATTAACATAAAACAGGCATCTTCAAAGATGCTGACAAAGCTTTTAGATGCAACATAATTATAGGGTTGCCAGTCTAGCTGAAAGGGCTAGTTTGGGCTCAGTGAGAGCCCTTGTTTTAAACACTTAGTTGGAAAGAGATAGAGGTAAATACTGAACAGTGACCATTGGCATCTACATGCACCAGCACACAAGGGCACACACCACACACACACACACACACACACACACACACACACACACACACACACACAAACTGACAGTGGAATATCATTTATTCATAGTGTATAACATTCCAAATAGTGAAGCTGTTAATGTTTGATTTCTTTTGTAAAAGCTGTCCTACTTCATCCTTGTATGTAAATTCATACAAACTTTTGTTTAGCTTCATTCCTCTAAGTCTCATGTCTAGGGAGTGTGGTGTTTCAGAAAAGGGGTCTTACCTTCATGTTCTGCAAGGTAATCTAGAGCAATGGCAATAGCCTAAATTGTTTGGGGAAATCTCTTAAGACTTCTCTGAATCATACTATCCTCCTTTCTAGAATCTCCCATCTACAACATACATGTCATTCACCCCTTTTACTTTCCTTATTTCTGTGCCTACTAGAGTTTATATACTCAAATAAAGATTTGGAGCTAGGATCCTCAAATAAGAGAGAACATGAAGCCTTTCTCTTTGTGGCTCTGGATTGCTTCTCTCAGTATAATATCTGTTAGTGACCTGGAATGCTCCATTGTGAGGAGTGGCTTTTGGTCTCATAATATCAGGAGAAGCGATGCAAACTGCCAAGGGACAGGAGCAATAAGCAGTCCTACACTGTTGCAAAGCCTATGAACTGCCGCAATGACTGCACCATGGAGACACCCCAGTCCTACACTGTCGCAAAGCCTATGAACTGCCGCAATGACTGGACCATGGAGACACCCCAGTTGTGCAATTTGGCACCTTTCTATTGGAGACAACTAACAGCACTCTAACTGGACTGCTCTATAGGAGGAAGCCCGTGTCTGGTGACTTAGCCAAGTTCCTGTAAGTTAGGTACTTGTAACATCCTGGCAAGCCACTCCCCATGGCTGGAGACTCATAGACATTAGAGGAGAACCTATTACTGCCACTTCCCTAAGCCAATATAATTAGAAACTGCATTGTAAACACTTCCATCATACTCTCAGTTAAGTGCTGCTCTCACCTTTCATGAAAAACTTTTTGTAACAGATGAAGACTAGTAAAGAGATCCTCAACTGGTCAGCATGGACAGAATAAGTGACTGTGGGGTACCCAACCCAACTGATATGTCTATATCACAACTA